GTAATGATTGTATTTTATTGTGCTATGAATTTAAAGCTTTTTTAATAATTCTCTGTAGGAAAGGGCTCGGAGAAAGTTTTGTGTYTACGAAGGCGATCATTTGACATATTTCAACGTTTACCAGGCTTTTATCAAGGTATTTTTGATATTTTTTTAACACATAACAATACATATATTGAAGCGCTTCATTTCGTGTTTTTGTGTGTGTGTGTGTGTGTTTTTACACAGCACAAGCAGAGCTCTCGTTGGTGTCAGGAAAATTTTCTAAATTATAAAGGTATTTATATTTTACACACTATAAAACACTCGCAAAGAACGGCTGACCTCTTCTCTGGCTAACTCATGTTAAATCAGATGTATCAATTAGTGCATTAATGGATCAAAGATATTTATACTTCAAAAAAAAGGACAATGTCCTGACTTGTGACATTATTGTGTAATTGCAGGCGCCAGAACTGCATACTCCGTTATCTGCCGTACTTACAGGTCCGAACTAGTCACTAAATAGCATCATGCTTTTCTTCTTTGTTATTTTCTTTAGGTCTTAAACACGCTGTTAAAATTAGAGAGCAGTTGAAGAAGCTATTGCAACATTTTCATATACCCTTAAAATCCTGTGATGGTAAGTTTTCATTGACATTGTATTTTTAGGGAAATCAAATGTACGGAAATACTAATTTAAATTGCTTTCCATCGWAAGTGCAGAGCTTGACATRAAATCCCTTTTTTATGACTCTTTAGAGCGGCAGCCAAAGTATTTCAGTTTAGCTGTACACAGCTATTTCAGAAAATGTTGAATTCTGATGGTACATAGTGCATGCAAAATTCTAAACTTATTGCTTTCCAATGACGTTTTTGACTGTACGAAGCTGGTACACTGAAACGACGAAAACGTCTTTTCAACGGCAATAGAACGACCAACAAAGTATTACGGTCTTGAAATGCACTATCTCCAGTATTCAGCGTTTCCTGAATTAGCTGTATGCTTTTCGACCTGAATGTGTGTCTGTTTTTGTTGTTGTTTTAACTCGATCTTTCTGACTTGTTCAATGCGCAGTATTCAGTAGTTAACCCATCATGTTTTTCAGGTGATGTTGATCAAGTATGTCGGTGTATTGTAGCTGGTTTCTTTGCTAATGCTGCGCGCTTAGACGCTTCTGGGACGTACAGGTATGTAATGTCTTCGTACTGAAACACTTTGTAAATGTCTAAAAGTGTCCAATAAATAGCCTAAGACTTTGATATCAGCTGTAATGAGTGTACAATTTGKGAGGAAATAATCTTCTCTTTAATCAGCCATCATTGTRGGATGGGCTCGGTTATCTTATAAAATGTAACCTTTCGCCATTGCRCATGCTCATAATTGATGTTAATGTGAGTCATTACTTTCCTTCTAGGACTGTTCGAGACAATCATCCATTGTACATCCATCCTAATTCAGTTCTCTATGCGGAGCAACAACCCGAATGGTAAGCATGTTTGTGATAGGGGGAAGGGTGGGGAGATATTTTTCACTATCAAGATGAAGGCATCTGGTGTATTTCGTTTGCCAAAAGCGAAAAAATGACATTTCTTGCTTTTTATAGGGTGATATATCACGAAATTCTGCAGACTTCTAAGTATTACATGAGAGATGTAACTAAGGTATACTGCATTTATTCAGATTTATTCAAACATTAGTGATGGCATCCTCGGTAACCCAGGGGTTAATCTTTTATCACGTGACCGACCGAAGATTAACGATGGGTTTCCGAAGGTGTACCTGCAGGTGTGAAGAGATATATATATTAACTATGTTTATTTCTATCAGATTGAACCATCATGGCTTTACGAACTAGCACCACATTACTACGAGTACGGCACAGTAAGTAAAATCGCAAGTTACAATGAATACCTAAACGCTCTTATAGCGTTCACTCGTGCTAATGTTTCGACTGAGTTGTGAATGACTATCTTTTTGGTTTTCTGCAGGAAAGAGAAGTTGCTGCAAAACGAGCCAAGCTGGAATAAGAACGAACAAACTGGCACGAAACACACAAGACTAAATTCAGACATCTTTATCGTTTTAAATTATTTTATTAAATTTGAAAATAATAGTATTTAGTCAATTAGTAATTTTCTTAGTCTCTGCCGAAGCTGTTCCATCCCTATTCCTGTTATGACTGATAAAGGAATAATGTCTTCAAATTCTAAACTGTCGGTAACAAGATGGTTTGTGGAACATTTTTCTGCTTGTTGTATCTTTTTGTCGGGTTCAATGTCTTGTAAAACATTTGATAAGCCTGGGAAAAGTGAATTTTACTTGAATTACAAAGACATATATCAAAGACAAAACTAAATAGCGAAAAGAAAAAAGAAAAATTAAATAAGGAACAAAAAAGACATTTGGCAATTCAAGAAAGTGAGAAAATCACATGAAACAAACGTTTTCGAAATCAGAATGTAAGATTTGAGTACCTTGTTGCCTTAAAACGTTTAAGTCTTCTATGAAAGATGCGTACTTCTTATCAGAATCGTCAGAATCCATCTTGGTTACAACTAGTACTTTAGGTCTATTGGCCAAGCGGTTATTGTAGGAATACAACTCCTGTATAACAAATTCACAGAGTGAGCTTACTAAGACATCGACATATATGGCTGAATTTGCTTTTAAAAAAGAGAAAGAATGAAAGAAAGAATGAAAAGTTCGATCTTGAATGCTTATAATTCGTTAATTCCGTTGAAATCGCTCTCACTTAGAGTAAAACGGCACGAAACACGGACGCTACACTTTTTGGATACGAAAAACTGCCGTACTTTTTGGATACGAAATCTGCTCCTCTTACCTTGGCCAGTAGACATAAAGATTGGAATGCGTTCCTCTTTGGATGTTGATTTGAAAGTTGAAAACCGTTCACATCGACCTGAAAAGAGCCAGAACCACAATGATAGGTTTACATTATAAACGCAAAACAATATAAACGCAACAATGATGCATCAATGTTGGAGAGAACTCATTTATTGGACATAGATCAAGTTACATTTTCTTACCACAAGTAACAAAATTGTTGTTCTTTCGACGTGTTTGAGGAATTTATGTCCCATTCCACGATTGAGATGAGCTCCTTCAACAAGACCAGGTAAATCAGCCACGCTTACCTACACAGGAACCCCAACAACAACAACAAAATTAACCCTGTCAAAGATATCGGACAACCCAGCATCACTCCCGCATTCGTAGCCAATCAAATGTTTTGCCGTTTGGATATCTTTATAATAATGATGAATGAAGTAACAAGCATGATGGTCTCAGTTTTTTTCTAACTAAATTTAGTGGGGAGGGACCTGCGACTGGCACTTTTCCCCCCAGATGGCTTTAACAACAGCAAAAACAGTGACTTACTTGAAAATGATCTGAAAACTCCATCATTCCTATAGATGGACGAACAGTCGTAACTAAGAAAGAGAAAATGATTAAAAAAAGGCTTCGGAATGGAAACTTTGACTATTAGTTAGTTAACTCACATGGAAAATCGCCTGTTTTTACCGATGCTCTGCTTATCTCTCCTAATAAGCTCGATTTGCCTGCATTTGGAAACCTGAAAGTACAATAACCTTCGTAAAGTAACAAGTATMTTCCGAGTAGTCATGTTGTGTCGGGATCCCTGTGCTAATATCAACTTCACATTTCGGTTGAATGATTACACATTACAAAACTGATTGGTACTATCAAGACTTTGAAAAAAGCAGCTACAGTCAACTCTCGCCTTACGAACACCTCGCTATTACGGASTCTTCGATATKACGGACAGTAAGATACTAAATMCCCGSSGMRAAAWATAWARARA